AATCAGTGAAATGCGAAAGATAAAGATTAGTCCTGTTATAAAATTATTGATTTATTATATAATAACTGATTTATTTTAAATATATCATAGGTTAAACTGAAACTCAAGAAATAGACCATATGTGCATTGTAAACAGAATTTGAAAATCTGTATACTTTAGCTTTATTAGCTCACTGAAAGAAAAACCAAGTGAATTTAACTAGTGTGTTTCGTAAAGCGTTGGTCGGAGCGGGGGTCGTATAGATACATAGATACCTAGTGAAAGTTATTCATCAATTCTAAATTTACTAATCTTATCTAGTAAATATATACCAATATCTGGTAAAGCTACTAATAAGGTAGTGATTGTATGGACAGTGAATCTACTAGTTTTCTTCGTGACATTAACTAGTTATTTTTTTTACAGTGCTGGATTGAGTTAACCCTCTTGAAACGTTCTTAACTCTTAGCAATTTTCTTTGACATGTACATCTATCTCATTGTACCTTGCAAAATAAAACAAACGTATTATAATTTTAACCACTGATCCAGAATTGAAAAATAACAGCTATTCATTTAGACATCACCTTCTAGTTTTCTAAATCTAGAGGCATCTAAATCTAGAGGCATCTAAATCTAGAGGCATTCAAATGCTCATGACATTTCTCTTCTAATACTATGTATAACCCTAAAGAATAATGAGCCGGGAATATTTTTAGACAAATCTTTCTGGGTAAAAATTAAAAATACCATAACCATTGCCCTAAAATCTTTATTATAAGATACTTTTTCTTAAACTAGTATATTTTCGTGAAAGCTCTGATTTTTTTTTAATATAGACTACCACAAGCCCGGGGTCAATTTCACTAAAAGGTGCTGGCATTCGTTTATCTTCGGCCTGGAAAGCATTTTTGGAGCTTGAATAAATGAACTTAAATCACCTTTTAAAGAGTAATTGTTCGTTTTCGCACTTGCAAAGAACGATTCTCTTTTTAGAATGCCAAGAACCGAGATTGAGAATTAAACAAGTTGACTATCTTAAATAATCTTTTTCTTTAAAGAAAAAGTTGTAAATTAAGAATCTTTCATTCATAGAGGGAAACTTACAGTATCAGGTTCATTATGGAAGATTCGCGTATTTATGAATCAAAATAATCCAAACATGGAGTTTGTCTGGAGTTCTGACAAACACATTTTATTGTTTTTAAGAAAAACATTCAGCAAATCTGAAAATTTCGACATTAAAGCCTAGGATATATTGAATTGAAAGGTAAAGTAAAAAATAAAATATGTTAGAAGATTGAGGGGCAATAGGAAAACCAACTATCCTGAAAAACGAATTATAAAGATTACATGATCGGTACGTACTGGTCCCTGCTGACAAAGCAGGTAACAACATTGTCTCTGTTTGTAAGGCTCATTATTTGAATTGTATTTTAAAAAACTTGGATTAAATTCTACAAGCGGTTATCAAACTTAAACTCATATGAATTCCCCTTTCTAATGACATTCTTCAAAATCATACGTCAGTTTTGAATATTTTTTATATCCCAAAGATAAAATGAATTTGAACTTCTATATAATTATATATTAGATTCCGAAACTTTATAAGAATCCTCATAAACAAAGATACATAGTGGGTTCCAGTAAATGTTCAACCATTTTTTTACATCCTCACTAAGATATTGATAAAAAAACTTCAAGAGCACTGTGCAACAATATACAGTATTCAAGAAGAGGTGAAAATCAGATGTGGATATTTAAAAATTCCAAGGAACTTTTGGACAATTTGAAATCACAGAATTTCACCACCATCAACAGCTTAAAAACGTACGAGTTTTCAACTTTATACACACCCATTCCCCACGAAAAATAAAATTCAGGGTTTTTTTATCATCATTAACAGAAGTTTTTCAATAAAAATGGAACCCGTAAATTTTCTTACCTTATCACTGGTCATTTTCATAATTATTTTGTTAAAATCATTGTAATTGTACACACAAGCACTCTGAAGTTGACACCAAAAAGATGTTTGAGTTTCTGATTGACAATATCTATGTGGTATTTGGAGACCAGGCCCCAAGACCATAAACTGAGAATAGACTTAAGTCAAAATTTTGATTTTGAATAGCTTGTGATTTATAATACATACAATATAAAAAAGAAGTAGGTTTGTAGAATATTCCAATTTAAACATATGGTAAAAATTTTTTTTTTTGTTATCAAAATTATCTTAAAAGCTATATAGATTTAAAATTTTGACTTAAGTCTGCTCTCAGTTTATGGTCTTGGGGTCAGGTCTTCTAACAATCTATTGGAATTTCCATGATGACCAATTGCGCCGCGCCATTAGTACACCTATTTTTATATTCATATGAAGCAGAATATGTCCAAAATCTTATGCGTGGAAAGAAGAAAACACTTGCTGTGGCCTTGAACTCGACATTTAGATATATCAACGACGTATTGTAAATTAACAAAAGTAATTTCCTTTTAAATGTCGATACGATATATCCTGGTGGGCTTGAGATAAAAGATAGCACAGGGTTAGACTACGGAAGCCCATTTAGGACCTATCAAAAATATTTTTAAATTCGTTATAACGATTTTTAGAATTTGTTATAACGAATTTAATTTGTTATAACAGATTTTTAGTTTTTTTTTTTAAAATTCATTATAACAATTTTTAAAATTCATTATGTTTTTGTTATAACAGATTTATTGAATTCGCTCTAACGAATTTAATTAGTTATAACAGATTTATTGAATTCGTTATAACCAGTTCAAGAATTTGGTTATAACGAATTCGACAAATCTTATCATTAAATTCGTTATAACGTCATCTGTAATAACAGATTAAATTCGTTATAATGAATTCAATGAATCTGTTATAACAAATTAAATTCGTTATAACGAATTCTAAGTATCTGTAATAACAGATTAAATTTGTGATAGCGAATTCCATAAATCTGTAATAACAAATTAAATTCGTTATTACGAATTCAATAAATCTGTTATAACAAATTAAATTCGTTATAACGAATAACGAATTCAAAAATATTTTTTGATAGGTCCTAAATGACATCCTATCAAAAAAAATTTTGATGTTATAACGATTTTTTAGAATTTTATAACGAATTAAATTTGTTACAATAATTCGTTATAACGAATTTAATTTATTTTAACAGATTTATTTAATTCGTAATAACGAATTTAATTTGTTATAACAGATTCATTGAATTCGTTATAACGAATTTAATTTGTTATTACAGATTTATTGAATTCGTTATAACGAATTTAATCTGTTATTACAGATTTGTTGAATTCGTTATAACTAATTCAACGAATTTGGTTATAACGAATTCAACAAATCTGTAATAACAGATTAAATTCGTTATAACGAATTCAATGAATCTGTAATAACAAATTTAATTCGTTATAACGTATTTTAAAAGGCTGTAATAACAAATTAAATTCGTTATAACGAATTCTAAAAGGCTGTTAAAACAAATTAAATTCGTTATAACGAATTCTAAAAATTTGTTATAACAAATTAAATTCGTTATAACGAATTCTAAAAATCGTTATAACGAATTCAAAAATATTTTTGATAGGTCCTAAATGGGCTTCCGTAGGAAATCTGTTATAACAAATTATATTCGTTATAACGAATTCTAAAAATCATTATAACGAATTCAAAAATATTTTTTGATAGGTCCTAAATGGGCTTCCGTATAAATGGGCTTCCGTAGTTGGACACATCTGTTTCATGTTTGGATATTTCACTTGAAGAAGAAGATAATGGTAATCTTACAACCAAGCTTTATGATACATGAATTCAACAAATCTGTAATAACAGATTGAATTCGTTATAACGAATTCAATATATCTGTAATAACAAATTAAATTCGTTATAACAAATTAGTGAATCTGTTATAACAAATTAAATTCGTTATAACAAATTTAATGAATCTGCTATAACAAATTATATTCGTTATAACGAATTCAATAAATCTGTTATAACAAATTAAGTTCGTTATAACGAATTCAATAAATCTGTTATAACAAATTATATTCGTTATAACGAATTCTAAAAATCATTATAACGAATTCAAAAATATTTTTTGATAGGTCCTAAATGGACTTCCGTATAAATGGGCTTCCGTAGTTGGACACATCTGTTTCATATATGGATATTTCACTTGAAGAAGAAGATAATGGTAATCTTACAACCAAGCTCTATGATACACGTTTAACTTTTTTATCTTCAACTTCCCTTACTTATGCAACAATAGACCTTCATCACCTGCATACAGAGTTTATATATCTCAGTTGATTCGATACGCAAGAGCATGTTCTACATATAAACAATTTCTAAAACGATTTAAATCATTGACAAACAAGTTGATAAAACAGCAATTTCAGCAGTCTCTTTAAAAGTCATCATTTCTTAAGTTCTATGGTCGATACAATGACCTTGTCAGCAAATATAATTCATCATTGAGTCAAATGCTGACAGATATTTTCATACTTATTGTTAGTCCATTATTTATTCATTAAATTGGCGACGGATTTTACCGTTATTTTCCGATCATGACAAGGAGCACACGGCGGTGTGACTGGTCAGCAGGAGATGTTCACTCCTCCATGACACCTGATCCTAACTCTGATGTTTTGGAGATCCGTGTTTTCTCTGCTCCTATTTTGTATTGTTTTATGGACTTTTGATCTTGAATAATGTTCGTTATCTCTATATGTTTCATTCAAAGACTGACCGATTTTTAGTTTTGTTTTACGACGTAGAATAAAAGGGATTGGAGTAGAAAGCACGGACTGCTCTTAAAGTCCCGAGATATATGTCTGATAACGACTCGCAATACAGGGGTTTTTATCCTCTTGCTGATGTCGTCACATCATAAATCAATACACTCTTTGAATGTACGATTTCATTTAGATATTTTGTTGAATGGCTGGCAATAAAGAACATATAATTGGTTTGGCTACTGAAAAAAATAAAATAATGACAAAAATAATAAATGTTTTATTCCACAAAGACACACTAGTCAAATCTGAACAAAATTTGATGAGATTCAAATTCTGTTAATATACTTTTCCATTCCGCTGAATTTACACAGCGCATGCATGCTTAATTTTCTACCTGCAAACTGCACAGAAAATTGGAATACCGAAAAAAAAAGTACGTATACATTAAACACAATAAACATCAGAATTTAATAACAAAAACAGTGTCAAAAAATTAACGATTGTACAAATGTTCTCATTTTTAACAAAATTAAAAAAAAATTAAGCAAAAAGACAATTTTGTCTTGAAAATTAAACAAGTGAGACAATGACTCAACCCCCTCCCAATAAAATCATAACCATGATCAGATGTGGATATGAATATTAGTGTCAGTTGAACGACACTAACCAAACATCAAGGACCTGAAAACGATGCAGAATTTGTAAATAAGCAAAGAAATTTGCAATATTTCTATGAATTTTTATGGCTTCAAACCATATTTTAGTTTTCTACTCGTTTTGACTCAAGCATCAATATCCTTTTCATGCAAATGCAAGAGCACCCAAGTAATTAACATAAGAACAATATCTCTGTCAAAACATTGAAAAAAAGGAGGTTAATTATTCATTTGTAAGTTTGTTGGTATGAAAAATTAAAAAAAAATGTACAACATTATGAAGTAATTTGCACCAGAAGCTCATTTGAGATCACTTAAACTCTTCCACTTGAATATGTTTTATCATCGGAAGAATGTTTCTTTTTCTATATCTGAAAACGAGAATGTCTTATCCGTGATAATATGTATCTTTTGCGTGCATCTTTGTCTGAATTCATTATTATCTCTGTTACAAGTTGACAGGAAACGTCCCTATTCTTCAAGCACAACAATCACAAAACCTCAGGCAAAAGCTCTGCAGAAAAAAATAATACATTTAATGTGTTTAAAAACGAAGACTAGAGAAAGTTTAACTTTCCAGATTAGGGAGAGTTTAGCTGTCTTATTGCTTATACAAACTTATAATTTTAAATGTTGTTGGATACTATAGGTAGTCTTATTGTTCAAACAAACTCACCGTTTTACTATTTGTAGCTGGTGGTTTGAATTTTACGCTGAATCCGTCGAACTCTATCGTTCGGAAGCCTGGTATAAAAGTAAGTACAAAGGATATTGTTGTAATGGCTAGCACCCATTCTGAACCCGAGGCAGACTGAAATATGTCCCGTAACTCATTCTGAAAAAAAGATTAAAGGTTACTTTTATATCAAAAATTAAGTTTTTTTATAAAACTGAATATGGAGGAAACAAATAACAATCAAACTCAAAAGAATACGGAAACAAGAAATCTTAGTCAACGCAAACAAATCAGAGGTGGCATCATCAGGAGCCATTGGGAAGTAAACATCTCCTTTTAACTGGTTTCTCCCGCCGTTTGCTCCTTGTCATGGTCGAGCAAATGGAAAACTCAGTAAACAATTCAGTGTGCGGATAATTACTAAAAATACCAGTCATGCAGCATTTGGCTCCAAAATATCAATATGAAAATGCGATTCGCAATTGGCTTCCTGATAATTTTTTTTGCTTATAAAGATCATTGCATCGAGCATAAAGCATGCAATGGTGATTTTGAACGATATTGTTGCTACCCTGGATTCAAAATTCTTTTTTGTTACTATAGCTTGCTTTGTGTAAACAAAATTGTTCTTACGTAGAGTATACTCTTGAGTACCAAGTTAAATGGGAGAAGCATAAAACCCTATATGCAAGTGATAAGAGTATATTGCTATCATTCTACACACTGAGATTGAGCAGTTGTGTTGGGGGATTTACACTCAAATATCGACGTGGTATTTTATTTTATATAAATCATGGAGTTTTTAATTGGCATAACTTTTTCTTAGGTCACGTCCACATATGGCGTCATGACTATGCAAATATAATGAAACTATTTAATTTGCTTTGACATTATCAGATGACCCCCTTTGTTTAAAAACATTTTTATAGATTTCTCCAACGAAATTTGATTTTTTGGGGGACTTTTGCCGGCAATTAGGGAATATACTCTTTTCTGTTCTGTCAGAAAGGCCAGAAGCTAGATGTTAATCTTTTAATTGACAGCGAGAGTGTTTGGGGAAACCTGTGGCATGTACGTATTTCAATTCCACGTAGTGCACTTTGTATTAAATATTACCTCTTTTGTGCCTTTTCCTTTGCTCTTCTGATATCTATAAGAAGCAAAACTGATGATAACTGTCTTTTATTAAGGATGTTTATAACAGAAAAGAATTGGTGTAAAAAGAATATGCATAGGTGAAAGTAAACAAACACAAATGCCATAACCTTTGCTTAACCAAAAAAATGATGTGATAAACAGAACTCCATAATGCAATTTTGAAATGAAGAAAAAGGGATTAGTTTTTACCGAAACGAAATCCTCACGATAATGTTCTATCCCTCTTCTTACGAAAAAATTCATTAATTAAATTTATCTCTCTAAATCTTAGTTTATCGATGGGCTAATAGAGCATGAATGTGTCGGACAAATTCCACTATAAGGCTTCCCAAAGTAGCTGTAAAGTCGCTTAGAATGAAATCATTTTAATTAATAAAACCGAAGGCCGTTCATTATCACAGCGAGGAGAAAATCACTCTCAATTGCACACAATCACGATTTGCAATCAACTTGGCAAGTTGAACGGTGTATCAAAGTTCAATGGTCTCCGAGATGTCACTGTAAGAAGATTTGGTTGTTAAAATTAAAAGTTTCATTAGACCTTGAAGCAAAATCTGTCATCAGTAGGTCGTTCGTAGTTTATTTGTAGCCTCATCCTTCAGAAGAACAACTCTCTCAACAAAAGAAATATCTGATTTTAACTCGGAGCATTTATAAATGAAATACTAAAAGTGATAATTCGTAGCTTTTATTTAACAATTTCTTTAAGATATTTGGCGCACTTTACTTTTCTTTAAGAAAACCAATTTTTCATAAAGCTTTTAGTTTTGAAAAAAAATTTATAACTAATGCTTTATGGAAAAGAAAAGTTTTTCAATACGATCTCTGCATAACATTTGATTCCTCCCTAAGATCAATTTTTGTATTAAAATAAATATGAGATACTGCTTTTATCGTTGTTTTTTCTTCTTCTTTTTGTCCACGTCGCCCGCCTGGCGCAGTTGTTAAAGCGTCTGCTCTACAGTCCCAAAGTAAGGAGTCAATCCTCTCGTCGCGGGTTCAAATCCCACCGTGGGACGTGGAGACCGGTCCTTCGGATGAGACCGTATAAACCGAGGTTCCGTGTCGTAGTAGGTGCTGTCACGAAAAAGATCCCTTACTGCTCAGTAGCCCTGAGTGACCAGCGCAGGACGAAATTTGTAGCTCTCCACCGGCAAGTGGTGGCGTCTCGATATGATTGAAACATTCTCGAGAGGAACGTTAAACAATATACAATCAATAAATCTTTTTTGTCCGAAGTCCCTTTTAGAAATTTTCACTCATCTTGAGATGCTACTACTTTTCTGTGAAGAGCTGGAGATTTAGAACAGTACTCAGTACCTACGGCTTTTGAGCAATGTGAGATCTTTTTAATTTGTCACTATCCTCTGCTGCATGGAAAATCGCTTTCTGTGGTCTCATTAAAATAACCAGTCTAAAAGTCTCACAATGGATTAGCACCTGCGACGTAAGGATAGCGCCTAACTATATAAAGTGCGAAAGTTCTAACCACGGAGCAACACAGGCGAGTCGTACGACATTGAAGTCACTGATGAACGAACGTCATTGTAAAAAAAGGGAAAAAATTGACATTAATTTGTTTAGGAGAGGGTTGAATGGCGATAAATATCCATAGTAATGAATTTCTCAATTGCATAATCCTGAATGAATTTGTATTAGTAAAGGTTTGTTTCACAGTCTGAGCTTGCAGTGAAGGACGCTTGCATATCAGTTACATTTACTGATGTTACTACTGATTATATATTGAATCACAAGTAAATATTATGTTCTCGATATATATACAAATACCTATGGTAATCACACTGTAACCGAACTTAATCATACTTAACAACGGGGACATATCTGAAGAATTGTTGATAATCTAAAGAAATTTCTTTTTTCAGATATGATTTTCATATGTTACTGTATAAAGTTATCCTTGCTTGTTAAATGGCGACCTTTTATATTCAAATTAATGAATATTATCAAGAGTATTAACAGATGATATATATGGAGAAAATGAACATCATTCAAGCTCAAAAGTCCATCAAACAGTACAAAATAGGAGCGGAGCAAACACGATCAATAAATCATTAGAGGTAGGATCAGGTGCCATGGAGAAGTGAGCATCCCGGCTGATCGGTCACACCCGCAGTGTGCTCCTTAAACTTTCATGATCATAAAATACTTATATTCGTCTGGTAAGCTTGTACACATGATATTTATCAGGTGAAATTTTAGACATGATATCTAATGAACCCTACACATCATATTTAAGTGGTGAGCTTTTACACATGATATTTATCTGGTGAGATTTTACACATGATATTTATCTGGTGAGATTTTACACATCATATTTATCTAGTGAGGAGAGTGTGGACGAAACATAAGGGATAAGTATTCAAGCTCAAATGGTCATTAAACAATATAAAATAGGAGCAGAGCAAACGAGAAGGGTGACAAACTATTGAATATGATCACAGGTAGTGGCCTTTCCAGTCAGGTACACGTGTTGTTAAAGGATACAGGTAAGAAAACTGATGGTGATGGCAAGACTAACTATAATCTGTACAATAAATGTGTATCTAAGCCCCGACTTTCTCTCCTCTTTGTAGAGTTTGTATGTAATGGCAGCATGGATCCAACAACAAACGAGCGAGAGACCAAAGGTCGCAAAGGCTCCCATATAATGAGGCACCGGAAGTGTATCTACCTGGAAAAAGATGTGTGTCATTATTGGTTAGGATATCTAATTGCATTAGTACATTAGCAATTAGTACATTACATAATCAAACATGTGATTAAATGCATAATTTTTATACATTATGCAGTCACAAGGTTTACATTAATTATATCTTCATACGTCGAATCGATATATCCAAAAGAATTCGAAAATAAATACATCGCAATGTCTGTCACATCTACTGATTCATATTTGAATATTTTACGGACTATGGACAAAAAGGGCCAATTAACAATTAAAGTAGACGTCAACTTTCCCATCGTTAAATTTCCTTATTTATTTTGTTATAAGCCCCTAACACCTGCATATGGTCTGTACATCATAACTATGAATACTCAATAGAGTATTAAAATTTTAAGTTCTCATTGGCCGAAAAATTTTGTTATGTCATTTCATTTCAAATCCTGAAGGTTTTGTCCAAACATAATATAGCGAAAGACAACCATTTAAGCTAGTACCATTGTAAAATTTAACTGAAGTGAATGAAAACATATGCACCACCAAGGATAAAAGAATATATATATAAAAAGAGCTATCAGTTTTAATGCACAACAAATGATTATATAAATATATATATATATATATATATATATATATATATATATATATATATATATATATATATATATATATATATATATATATATATATATATCGGTGATTTCTTTTCAAGGTGTGTCCATTTTGCTAACTCCATTCTTTGTATTAGATTAATATTTATAATTAAACCTAGACATTGCTTTTCTTCCTTAGTCATATATAATGATAAGCCGTTTTAGGGCCTCGTTAAACAGTACTTTCTCGTTACGTCTACATCTAATGACAGACTGTGATGTAAAAGTGTCCCCAGTGAGAATTAATTATTTCATGGCTTAGATATTCAGTATTAATTCAATCTTCCTTGACTACAGAAACCAGTAGTGATGGCGTTATAAAGAAAAAATCAGACACAAAAATAGTGTCACATTTGAAATACATGTACAGTGATACCTCAGCATTTCTTTCATTTACATCTATTAGTTCAACATAATGTGAACACAAAAAATGAAGGAAAAAAATGATTTTTCAGTTGCAGAATATTTTATGTTTTGGTATGCCGTAGAACAACGTTCTTCTTTATTTTCAATATACATGTAGTAAAATCTTTTATCCAGTGTTTACCCCTTTATCCCGTGGATATTGTCTCAATGGACATTTTTTTCATACACTACAGTAACTGTTGTGAGGTCACAATGGGTTTTGCGTCAGAGTGATGTGATGAAAATTGAAGTGGAGATTTACAAAAAAAGATAGTGTAAAACATTGAAAGTGATGTATAAAACAAAATATTAAAAAATCTCCGATGATTTGTAGTTGGAAATGATTTTTATCTAATTCGTTGTGTGTTATTATACCCTCGCAAAGGCTCGGGGATAAAAATCACAAAACTTGTTGGATAAAAATTATATTCAACTACAAATCGTGGGAGATTCTATATATGTATGCGTTAAAAACATAAAATAGCTTTGAAAAAAATGAAGCAATGCATTCCTTCTTTTTAAGTAAACTTAGATAGTTGTAAAATATTGTCGCTGACAAAAAGCTTTTTGCGTCTCCCTCAATATAAAAACCTATGAAAATTGTATCTTAACACATAAATCTCTCAAATATATATATCGAAGCTCATTATATCAACCATAAAACCTGCAAAATTAAGACTTTAAATGAGTCTGTTGATATCCTTGTCTCATCAACTTGTTTGTCAAAGACTAACATCGTTTCAGATATTGTTCGTACGTACAGCATACTCTTGTGTATCGAATCAACTGAGAGAGGTGATATGAGTGTATTGCTTCATAAGTAAGGGGAGACGATGATTGAAAAGTTGAAGAAATCAGATTTATCAAAAAAAATCTTAGGGTTAACGTCCTTTTCTTGTAAAATATGAAATAATATTTTTCAGATGTTATACTATCATTTTTTTTTTCAAGCTCACATGTATACATTGAGTCGACATATGAATAGAAGTAACTATATCGCTAATTAATAATACGAATACAATTAGGGCCAACTCGACATTTAAATAAATGGACAACGCATTCTTATTATGATTAAAACAAATTTTCCCTTCTCATATAACAGATTTTGAATAAATTCTTGTTCATATGAATACAGAAAGAATAAAGGGAAGTAAGTGGTACCCACTGCATATTCCGATATATTGTTGGAAGATATCATCTCTTAATACATGACAATTGTCAATCAAAAACTCAAGCAATTTAGATATCACGTTATAGTAGTTATGTTTACAATAATAATCTAGAATGTTTTAACAACATAATTATATACTAATTAACAGTGACAGCGTAATAAATTGACGATTTCAACTTTATTAATGAGAGAAGCCTGAATTTAAGGTCAGATGACACGTTCCTAAAAATTATAATTTTTCCCAAGAATTTGTCAATGAAGAATATGTACTAAAAGAAGTTTCCTCACAAAAAATTAAGGTACCTTACAAGGCATTTGGACAAGATACCACAGGGTCTTATTTCTTATATAACCCTTATGCGTAATCTTGTGAATGGCCTATATCACAATTTTTGGTTTACTTATATTTAAAACATTTTGAAAACAGTGTAGATATCAGAAGAGAATGACAAATATGAATAATTTTTTATTTAATGCCAAGAGATACAAAACATACATTTGAGGAACGTGTCTTCTGACCTTAAACTTATCTTGCGTAATAAAGTGTTAAAAAGTCCTATGTTTTGAAATTTTGTTTTTAAGGTAAAATTTTGTGATTTCAAACTTTCTTAAATTTAATTGGAATTCTTGAGTTTTCCGTTTCTTGTTTATCTGATTTAAACCATTTCTTGAATAAATTGTTGTACAGTGTGTTTCCCCGTGTGAATATTTGAGTAAGGAGTAAAGAAACAGGCTTGCTAGAACATTTAATATAACATACAATGCCTTTTTGTTTGTCATGAACGGATTTTTTTTAAGTTAAGGAATCCAGCATAAGTATGGAAAATTCAAATTCAAGTTTTATAAGTTTTATAAAAGTAACTGATGAAAGTCTCTAGTGATACATTTCACTTAAGCTGTGTCTATTACCTGAAAACTAGCCACAAACACTAGCCCAAAGCATGCCACGAGGCCCATGGCTAAGGACAATTTATTAAGAGTGATCCAGCGTGATTTCTCCGCCGGGGTCAAGGACATCTGTGTCATCATAAGGCGGACATATTGGAATCGTATCTCTGCATTAAGGGCCACTGAAACAGAAAATTAATATCAGAACGGAAGCTCTCTAGATAGGAGTGTTATTAATGTAAATCTATAAGAGCAGGTGAGCGCAATCCATGCTGTAATGAAACCGGTGATATACGGGATATAGAATTATAAATTCTAAACGAAATGATAATCAAAATAACGTCAAGTAAACGTAAATTTCACAGTCATTGTGTAAAGAACATGAGGCACTTCACCTTTTCTCCTTTAAAAAGGTAGTCATTTGTCTGTAATATAAGCAGGGTGATGCTCCTATTTCAAAAATAATTTTAGTAATTAACAGAATAGGAAAAAACAAAGATAATAATCTAATCTTCATTAGTTGCAACATGGCATGTTTGCTACAGAACAATGAAACTCAAAGTGATTGAAAAAAACTGTCTTCAAAGCAATTTTTAAGGTATAATAATTACTTAGTGACTGTAAATCAATCAAAATCATTCCTTTCTTTTTTTATTATATAGCTTTAGGTATACAAGGAGAGCAAGGAAAGGACAGGTAGCCTGCAAAGAAATATAAACAGAAAAATGAATTATTATCTATTAATATCTACTAGTATATCAATTTTGATATTTACACAGAAACCTATCTATCTAGAGGTGAGGAATCTATTATTTTGCTGGTACATCTTGTAAATCATTGTGAATCAGCGGCGGAAAAAAAACCAAGGCTTGATAGAAAACATTTACTGAGCGTGTGAATATTAATCACACAACATAAATTTTATGTTGCACCAGAATATTTTTTTCCAATTTGTATTACACCAAACTAATTATTGTGTAGCACGAAATATAAAGATTGTTTTGCAAGGGCCTTGGTAATTTGTTTAGATAGTATAGGTACTATGTGCTGAATCATTTTCGCCATTCGACAATTGCGACAAAAAATCATACACTTTTTTTCGCCCAATATTTAAAAGATGTATAACTTTTATTCTGTTGAATTCACTACGTTTTCAATTTTCCCTTGTATTAGGCGAAAAAAGCAAAACATCAGACATGTTACACGGGAAGCTTTTCTTCCAGTATGCTTTGTCAATAAGCTAAGGCTGCACCCTGCCACACTTTTGTTGATCTGACAATTAATCATTGCTGATGTCAGAAGACTTAGTCTAACCCTTATGTAGTCTTACCTAGACTAAGTGATACCCAACCATCATACTACCGAAGTATTCAGTACTACTAGTACTTACGAGCAATACTGCAGACAAAGATTGCCAAAGAGAACAGCCCTTTCTCTGGAACTTCTGTTCCTGTTTTACTGAAATAACAAAATGTACATACGATTTAGTGAATAGTGTCTGGCAAGATCTTTTCAGTTTTGATTGTTTCCCTATGTCTTTTCAAATTCTACTTCAAGGTAAAGGGATGTGTTTTTTAAAAATTCTTTTAAATCATTAAAAACACATTTTGCATTATAAATATCTGTAGGGATCTTATATAGTATTGAATAATTGAAATAATTGAGATATGTCATTTTTAGGGAAGGGGGTTATTAGCATTCATTTAATTTTAGATGATGTTAAATTGCCCTTTCTTCTAGATGGTAAGCGGATTGAATGTTATAGTTTACTGTCATTTTAGGCTTAAAATGCAATCATCTGAACTTTAATCTTAAATTGAAAAAAGAGGGCTGCAAATTTTAACCTGTGCTCGATACTTATAGCCTTCCGCAGTTTGGAATCTTTTTCGAGTGACTAAGAAACACACGTGACACCGTGGATTCAAACTGGCAACGTAAAGATCGAGATCTTATTCCGCGACTCGTTAACAAACGCTCTGACACCTCAGTAATGGAGACAACCCAATCCATGTCTGTATTATAGGAGAAACGGGTCCTTTATTAACTAGGGAAAGGTAAGGGGACAATGAGCAAACCTCGAGTCTGCTTCATTTAAAAAATAATTAGCCTTTGAGATCGAGATAAGCCTCATAGCTACCTCGCACTGGTTATTGAATCTTAACGTATCACAACTCAAAATTGTTCGTTGATTTTTTTTAAATTTTAACAGCATCAGTGTTAAATAATGAATGTGACTGTTTAAGTGCAATTGTGTTTCAATTAAACATTTTACGAATGTCAGTGCAACTTCTTATCAATGTAATCATAAATGAGATTTCATCTTTCTATGAAATGTGATACACGTACCTTATGTATGGAAAAACGTTGGACGTGTGGTTTAACGCCTGTGAAATACCATATCTGTAATAAAACGTACATTATTAGATACATGGAGAATTCTCCTTTCAGATCCTAGCTGGAGTCGATCATTAATGCAACTTCCGGCCGGTAATTCAGCATCTCTTAATTACCATAGCCACTCAATCGGACTAGTTTACAGGGATAAATTTCCATATTTCCTAGACCTTGCCGATGTCAGTTTCAATATATTAATGATCGGGTCCAGCAGAGACAAACTAGGGCTAAATCTCATCTGTTTTTGTCAGACATGATAAAGAAGCCGAGAACGCAGTGTCCCCAGCACACATTAACGTGCAGAGCATAAAAACGATTGTTAATATCGCTGCTTTCTTCACATCAACATCTGTTTCAGAAATGCTTTTTATAGAAGAAATTATATGTTTTCAGATTTGTAACAATTTTTGTACTGAGTGTCAAGGCCTTGAAGGAAAACAATGTTACTGAAAACATAGGTGTATTATTCTAAAACTGAGCATAACATGATAAATTTAGAATTGTTTGTGGTTTAAAAGGCAGATATAATTGAAGAGACTGTACTTAGTCATCTTTATCATTTCTTATGTTGAATTGTATATAATGTAGAAATAATCCTGTCGTCTATGAATTCGTCTTCAACAAATACAGCTTGCGGACAATCCAGTTGATGCCCAATAAAAAGATTAGTTCAACACAGTAATTAAGACCTAACTGATGGAATTGATGATGTAATTGATGCATATTTCATATTTTATATTAAACACATTTTGTTTCCAAAGGATTCGCATATGGAGGCTTTTCTCAAATATTAAATAAAAATAGTACTTGATGAACACATGTAGCAAAATTGCCTTCTTGAAACTTTTTTTGTAATACAGTATAAATAATACAAGCGCATGTAATGTGGCATCTGTATTTTTTAGTGTCAGTGATTTCTAAAGTATTTGAAAAAAAAAATAAAATGTTCGAAAAGTCATTTAGAAAATAAAACATATTCTTGACATTAATCATAGGAGGTAAATCTGAATTGTGTTTGAAACATGCAGATTCTAAATGACATCCCAGAGGGAGGTGACCGAAAAGGATTCTAAATGACATCCCAGAGGGAGGTGACCGAAAAGGATTCTAAATGACATCCCAGAGGGAGGTGACCGAAAAGGATTCTAAATGACATCCCAGAGGGAGGTGACCGAAAAGGATTCTAAACCTAGCTTATTATCTTTATGTTTTTCATAAAGAAAAAATGGAATTAGTTTTCTCTATTCTAGTCTTGAATGACCTTTGTTCTTTAGTTTAAGCCTCGTGGATATGTTGGGTATAATCATTATTGTAAATTAATAATTTCCCCCACGTTGATTATTGATCATGGCCAGCGATACATTGTCTCCTATTCAAAAAGAACTACTTTTTTCTCTCTTGCCACTAAATCTTACATTACATTTATTTTTTATTAACCATAATACTCAAACCTCAGCTTTCTCTTATTGTGTCTTCGAAGACAAATTACTTTATCAGAAAAATCATGTTTGTGAGATTAACGTAACAAAGAAAATGCCATGATTAAACTCTGTAATAGCAAGTCCATTTCATCTTGTGCCAAATCCGGATATTTTAGATGGATAACTGCCACTGAGTCTGTGCCTCGCTGCTAGGGAAAATGGTTTATAAGGGATAAAGTACCTGTTGTGCCTTAATAGAAAAAGTTCTTGAACTCCAAGCAAAAGAGGAGTCGCTAATTTCCTGATTATGAGGAACATTCACAAATGCAAGACGACATCTGCAGACAACGGCACCAGCAGCAGGCGACTCATGCCAAGAGCAGACGACATAGACAGGCAGCAGACGACACCAGCTATCAGAAAGAAACTCAAGTCTAGCCACAGGATCATAAAGCAGTCTTAAACTCCAGGTTAAATTTCGACCTTAAAGTTAAGTTTTATCAATGAAAATACAGAATATCTGTATTATTATTCTAAATTGTTTACCTTTAATGTCGTCAATTTTAATTTTCAAGCTTTAATTTACTCTTTATCTTCACTTCTGAAATTAATGAATTTTTTTTTTCTGACAGATCATGTTCCTCGGAACTAGTATAATTTTGATTACCACGTTTTTGAATGTTTGTCTGAGTGCAGACATACAGACTATAGAAACATTGCACAAGAAATAACTGTACGAAGTTACTTTCACTTGTTACGTCTCTAGTGGAGTGAATGTGTCCAAATAATTCATACAGCAGTTTTATGTTTATCATTTTATTACAGAGTGGGGTGAATTTTATTTTTTTTTACCTTGCACAGTCACAACAAGAATAAATAAACCCTGTTATAAAGAGATCAACCTTAATACAAAAATAATCCGAGAATACTGGAAACTAGGCACATTTTACCTCACAATGTACCTCTGGTAAGAACAGAACATCAGAGAAATATGCTTTAAGATATTAACAAATTATAATATTTTAAAGAACCTATCAAGCCCTAACTATGTATAATTAATCAAAATTATTCTTGTAGGTAATATTATGAGTGATATAAAGATAGATGAATTTAATATTTGTATTTAATATAATCAAGCCTTAATTCCGTATTAAATGAATCTGAGTGCAATCTTCAAGATGGATTATCAATACAGAGAATTGCAAATTTACTCTATCATAAACAATAATGAAAAACACAAACAAATAGTTTGAAATCTGTAAAGAATTTATATAAGAAAAAATGAATAATCGTTCTAAAAATTTGAAATAAAATTAATACAGATATTTCGATATATTTTCTTTAAGTTAAAATTTTGAATAATATATAACTCTTCACAAGCCGAAGAAATACTTCCCAGTAAACATAATCAATTAGCAAACATTTGCGATTGGAAATTTTTCCTTTATCAACGCTCAAATGTTTAATCATTTCAATTTTTATTTACTTTATTATGTAGGAAATAATACACACCAGCAGACGAGAATAGGGATTTAACATGAAGTTCCTACCAAAGATTTAACCTTCGTTATTATGTACTACAATCAATGAAATCATGCCATTTGTGCACTTGTCTCCAGATTTTCAGTAACGTGCTTGGAATACGGACGATGGACTGAGTCAACGGTTAATAACTTACGTGATGAAGAAAGCAGGCACAGACCACAAGAAGGTAAACACCGGAATCGTCCAGAGACAGGCCCGCAGAAGGTGGTAGACTGTCAACATGTCTGTCCGTTAGCCTCAACCTGAAAACAGAGACGTCACAATGTATATTCCACAATTAGCACATAAGTAGATACTTCAGGAAAGGAGAATCATTCTTCAGCGTCACTTTAGAAAAACTTAGCTGAAGTAAATGTCTCAATTAGAAAAGTAGACCACTTACTATAGCGTTGTTTCGTTTCTCACAATGTATGTGTAATTCCTTTGACAATTAATGAATCAATAAATAATCACAATCATATTCCTAGAGAAAGTCCTATCATTAAGAAGAAAAACAAGGAAATCTAACTTATGTAAAATATCCACCTTTTAGTAAATAATAAACCCGGAAATATTTTCATTTTGATGTGAAGATATCTCGTGGCACGTGATACATGTGAAATCTGTTATCGCTGTTAAAAACTCTGGGAGAGCGCCAAGCTGTAGGGCATAGATTGAAATCTGGCTCGACTGGATGTCCTTATAGTATCACTAATGATATCTAATCAAGCCTCTTAAAACTGTTTTCAGTAATGCTGTGGTCTCCGCTCTTCTTTACTGACTTTTTGTATGTACTCAAGTACTCATTAAAATGTTTCTTTACCACCTGATGTATAATTTGTTAAGGCAGAAGTATGTTATCGTTGTCAATATTTGCATTTTTTCCTCCTAACTGGACTTTAGCAGATCAGCAACTGTCAAGATCCTATGTTTTTTTTCCTGGACGTTACTAACTATTTTTTGATAATTTTTACAGATTATCCGTTTCCTCATACATTTGCTGCGCATCTGATAGTCTATCATTTAAACATTAAAATGCTTTCTTTGTTAGTACGGAAATATATGTCGCAGCTGTTGCTGAAAAAAATAAATAACCCGCGTAAGCGGTGGGTTATATAATTTTTTTCTGCAATAGCTGCGACATTCATTTCCCATACTAACAACCAAATAAATAATATTATGTTTTATTGTTTATATTTATATCTGTATAACTAATCATTTAAAGTAGGATTAAAAAGATAAATTATTTTATTATATGATTGAATAGTTTTCATCTCTCTGATTGGCTGATGTACTTCCTGCACGTGACGTTCCAGGTCAATACAAGGATTTATTTCCTTGACATTGATCTAAAAATAGCCATATTCTTGATACAAATTGAATTTGGAAAGCTATTTAAACTACTATAACTTTTTTTCATGTGATATATATTTTCGGGTGAGGGTGAGTGTGTAACACTTTTACTGAAAAACAATTTTTACTTTTTGGCAGTCAGTTTTCCCTGATAATACTCCTTCCTTTAAAACAAAAAAAAGTATAATTTTTTTTCATGGCAACTAAAATTGAAAAAAAAACTTAACAAAAAAATAAATACGACCTGTAAGGTTTATTAACATTTTAATTCTGCATTGTATTTGGACTTAATCAAATGCAAACAAGTAATGGGTTTTATCATTTTATTAGTGAATCATATAATAAAACAATTATTGCTGACAAGGTCAATGTATTGACCATAGAACTAATTGTATAGTATTATCGATATGTACTTCTTAGTACGTTTCAATCAAATTATTTTAAACGAGACTGCTGATATTCTTGTTTCATCAACATGTTTATCAATAACTTATCAATAACTTACCCCGTTTTAGAAATCGAGCATACATAGAGCATGCTTTTGCTTATTGAATCAAAGATGTAAACTCGTAGGATAGAATATGATTTGCATTTGGATAGGTGTTTTGGAAATAATATGTAAATGTGTCTTGTACAGAGTTTTCTATATTATGAAAGGTGATGTCATCTTGCTAGCCATAAATTAAGTTGTTTGTTGGCCTTTATCAACTGTAGTCAGTAAAACTACATAGAATGAAACAGATTTGGAGACTCTGAGCTGTCTTTTATTTTAAGTCATCAGGATGGATTGATCGGTATATGAATGGAAATAACCAATTGTTTATTTTTGGGAGTTGAACTATGTTCAATCTCCCATGGTCATCACGCATTTAACGTGCGCAGTAATTTTTGTTGATTATATAGAGCCGAAAGCGAGGCTACTGTGTCGATCGATTTACTCCGATGATATTCAACAGAAAACATGCATAAACATCCGCCACAAATAGTTCATGTCATTTCCTCCTGAATTTATCTAATTTTCATAATTTGAAATGTAAGTAAATGTAATGATAAAGTCATCTTACTTTGAATCTTAGATTTCGTTCAAAGTAAAACTAAATTATAAAGAACCTCAAAAGTTTTTCGTAATGGAACTCATTTTTAGTATAGCGTCATACACTGAAACAGATACCAACGACAACTCTACAGACTAACGGCAAGCGGTAAAACTAGTCTTTCCGACGCCCGACGGTCCCTGATTTTTAGCAATTTCTTTTTTACCGGTGCACAAAATTTATTCAAACTTTTCATGAAAATTTTCTTGCTTTAAATGAATTCATTAATGCATAAAAACTTTAGGAAACATGCGTATTTATTACTAAATCAGCAGTATCACCTACCAAAAGCGGTAAATTTAGTACTCTGTTATAAATGTTAAAACCAAAAACGGACACCGATGTTTTCGTAAAATCGCGATTAAAAACAACAAAATGAAGTATAATTTTTATTAATAAAAGGAAAACCTCATTTACATACCAGATAATTTCTACGCACACAAACTCTCACATATACATAATATGAATATAATATGAATATAATGGCAGTGTCCATGTTTTGCAATGGGAAACCCAAAATATATGTAGAATGAAAAAGTAATAAAAGATGCACAAAGGCAATATCTAATAAAGATTCTATGAAAATTTCGTTCAGGGTGTAAGAGGAGTTGCGGATAAGAGATGAATGTACCTAAAGCGTAACAAACAGATGGACGGAAATATCGATTAATAAATACCCTCCCACTTTTCAAACAGGGGGCATAAAATGGACCACTGTGGGCAGGCAAGAATTATGGCCCATGCATTTTTTGCTATTCAGTGTCTCTGAATGTCTTTCTCAAAATTGTTGCAACTCAAAAAATCTGAAACAGTTGTCTGTATTTGAAATAATAATATTGTTCACTCACTTAACCCCCCGATCAAAGATTTTATTTTACACCATGTTCAACTCCCATGAGTGCTTTCAGTACTTTATTGTAGAAGTTTTAGAATACATCCTGCTATATCGGAATAAGAAAAACAAATTGGCAGATAAAGTGGTGTCTCCAACTTCCCATTCATCATTAATTTCATAGTACTTTTCTGAAGAATCAGAGAATTTTAAAAGGTAATTTTGTAGATGAATAATTTCAAGAGTTCCATTCTTAGTAAAGAAGCAGTTGTCTGTCAAAAAAGCCTAGTTTTTCACTTATCGAGGAAAGATTGTGGAAAGTGTAGAAAAATCGTACGTTCTCATGTTGATCATAAGGACTTAAGATAATGTAGGTAAATTTAAATTTTCTGAAGGCTTCTTCGAGTTTTTGAGAATCTACCTAGTATTATAAACCTCACTTCTGGATATAATGTATCACAGTATCTCTGAAGTTTCTCCTTTATATTAAATAATACTTTGTCAGGAGTTAAGATAAAGGCTTTGTAACACATTTGCGGGACCTGACTCTTGATTCTGTCATAATTTATTTAACCCATAGTATAAATTGTAATTATTATATTAAGGGTTAAATTATTATCAAGTTCCTGTGACCCGGCAATGTAACTTTGTTTGAAAGGATTTTATATTAAAGATTTGGAATGCAATCATTATGTATATACCAAACTTTTTTTTTAGAAAATCGGAAGCCAAAGACAATTTGTTAAAACGAATCATTATTTTGATTCAAATCAGTTGCAAGATCTTGTCACATTTGTAAAATAATGTTTGAACAATGTGTCTGAGCAACTTTATTCCGGACAAATTTTTCAAACCAGGTTTTTAGTAAGCCGGTAAATACCAGTAGAATGCTAAGAGGAATTACATAAACGCAGCTTCAATATGTTTACTTAATGTACAGCTGATTTTAAGCATGAGGATTTCCAAGTAGTTTCAAGGAAACGTTATAATATTATTATGTGAGTATATGTGTTAGTGTAATTTTAGAATATTAACCGGTAAGTTTGGATAAGTGCAAACTTATTCATCTATTCAAATTCTGTTTAAAAACAAAAAATATAGCTGAAATAGAGGATGCCTTTGAGGCAACAAAATCAAAGAACTGAAAGCACTGATAGCAATATACATGTATTCTGTATTTTTGTCCCCCGCTTTCGCGAAAGCGAGGGGACATTAAATCTCATTCGTCTGTCCGTCAGTCTGTCCGTCTGTCAGTCTGTCAGTCTGTCCGTCACAAAAACTTTAACCTTGCCCATAATTTTTGATTTAGTGGAGCTATGACTTTCATATTTCACATGTGTATTCCTTGTGACAAGACCTTTCTTTGGGTACCACCAAATTTGACCTTTTGACCTTGACCTTGGAGTTTGACCCAAAATTCCAAACTTTTACTTTGGCCATAACTTTTGAATAATAGGTACTAGGACTTTTATATTTCACATATGTATTGTTTGTGGCAAAACCTTTCAGTGGATAACAACAATCTTGACCTTTTGACCTTGACCTTAGAGATTTACATACTTATAAAAAAAACTTTAACCTTGACCATAATTTTTGAACGGGGAGGACTAATGCTTTCGTACTTCACTTATGTAATCCTTGTGAGAAGACCTTTCATTGGATACCAATAACTTTTACCCTTTGACCTTCACCCTAGAGTTTTAACTACTTTTAAAAAACTTTAACCTTGGTCACAACTTTTTAACAGTGGAAACTAGGACTTTTATATTTCACATATGTATTTCTTGTGGCAAGACATTTCATTGGATACCAACAACCTTGACCTTTTGGCCTTGACTTGGAGATTTACGTACTTATGAAAAAACTTTAACCTTGACCATAACTTTTGAACGGTGAGGGCTAGAGCTTTCGTACTTCAAAGATGTAATCCTTTTGAGAAGACCTTTCATTGGATACCAACAACTTTTACCCTTTGACCTTGACATTGGAGTTTTAACTACTTTTTTAAAAAAACTTTAACTTTGGTCACAACTTTTGAACGGAAGATACTAGGACTTTTATATTTCACATATGTATTCTATGTGGCAAGTCCTTTCATTGGATATCAACAATTTTGACCTTGACCTTAAAGATTTACGTACTTATGAAAAAACTTTAACCTTGGCCATAACTTTTGAACAGTAAGGGCTAGGGCTTTCATACTTCACATATGTAATCCTTGTGAGAAAATCTTTCATTGGATATCAAAAAATTTGACCCTTTGATCTTGACCTTGGACCTACTTTTAAAAAACTTTTTACTTTGGCCATAACTTTTTAACGGTCAGGATTAGGGTTTTTCATCCTTCAAAAAAAAATCAACTTCAATGTTACTTTCTAAATAAATGACATATGACAGGATGTTCATATTACACACAATATGTCATAAAAAATAACATCTCACCCACAAAGACACCAAAAGCGGGGGACCACAATTCTTTGAATTTGCTTGTTAAAATTCAACGAGACGTAATCCACCAAAGAAATGCTGTTACTGTACAACAATGCCTGTGTGCAGTGTACTACATCTACTGAAATTGCAC